TGACTCACTAGAAGGGCAGAGCAGGAAGCAAGGGAAAGAAAGCTGGGAGAGAAACTGGCGGGCAGGAATCTGAGGCGTAGGCAGGGGCCAGGGAAGATGGGGAAGAAATGGGTGAAAACAGATTCGGTGACTCCCGCCCGCCCACCCATAACACGTGCCTTTTTGCACAGCTTACTACATGCTCCTGGGCTCAGGTGAGCAGAGCACACTGCTGAGGGCCACTTCTCCATAATTTCAGACAGAGGATTCCTCAGGGCACTACCAAGCACCTTCTTGATCACTTCAACTGATCTTTTGCCATGTGTGCTTTGAAAAGTCTGAAAGAGCACAGAACTGCCAGGCATTCCTGCTGTCATGGGCAGTTGATAAGAACCAGGTGAAGAGTTAATGACTCTACTTGAGTTTCAAGAAAAAACAGTCTCAGGCACAATTAGGAGAAGAGTCTTAAAGGCACAATTTGAAGAAGAGTCTTAAACACAGAGGACTCATGAATTCTTTGACTACCTCCTACTGGCATTATCCCGTGGCTAGAAGTCCCCAAGAAATGTTATACTATCCTGAAAATATCATTTTCCAACTCCCAGCATTTTCTAAGAGGAATTCTCCAAGTATGATTATAATCTTTATTGGGATGGAAATATTCAATCACACATCATGGGAAATGCAGTTGATTTATTTTCCCCTTGGCATAATGATTGTTTTTATCTTAGCCTGTTTATAAAATTTCCTCTTTTTATTTAAATCGCTTAAGAATGCAAACTGTACACAGTAGCTTGATTATCTTCTAGCAAGGCTGCTGGAAAAAAAACCAACCCAAAATTCTGAGAAAGTGAAAGTGTTAGTTGCTCAGTCATGTCCCACTCTGGGACCCCATGGACTGTAGCCCACCAGGCTCCTCTGTCCATGGGATTCTCCAGGCAAGAATACTGGAGTGGGTTGTCATTCCCATCTCCAGGATATCTTCCCAACCCACGTTCCCTGCATTGCAAGCAGATTCTTTACCTCCTGAGTCACCAGGGAAGCCCAAAATTCTGAGAGTATAAATTAAACTCAACTTCCTAAGGAAGCATCATGCTTTACTGAGATCTCCTGAATGCTCAGCGTGTGTACAGTTTTTGCAGAAACAAGTGAAAAGCCTTTTTGGCCATCAATCTAAAGAAGTCAAATGGACCAGTTGCAATGAGGACAAAATTTATCTACACAAAACCAAAACATCCACTAAAGAAGCTCCTGAACCACTCTCCTGAGTTGAAAGTGTGACTGGACACAGTCAATGGAAATGCCATTCTTTAATCCCGGACATGGTGGAAAAACAAGACAACCAGTCTGGAGAAGGGAATGGCAACCCACTCCAGTATTCTTGCCAGGAGAACCCCGTGGACAGAGGAGCCTGGCGGACTACAGTCCATGGGGTCACAAAGAGTCAGACATGACTTAGCGGCTAAAGAACAACAACTCTATAGCACAAGGAACTATATTCAATATTCTGTGACAAACCATAATGGAAAAGAATATTAAAAAAGAATAATGTATACATGTATGTATCTGAGTCACTTTATTGTACAGCAGAAATTAACACAACACTATTAATCAACTGTATTTCAATGACATTTTAAAAAAGATTAAAAAAAGAAGATGCCCAACGGTATGTTACCCTCCTTCTCCCCTCCCCTATCCACTTATTTGAGTGCCCTCACCACAATGTCTCTACTGACTTAGAGGAAGCTCGCAGAAACTCAAACTGACCTGAACAACCCTCGCTTCAGGGTTAGTGATACTGTCCACCAGAGAGGATGCCCACCCTCTGGACTCTTATTCCAGGACAAAGAAAAAAGGTACAGAGTCCTTGAGTCTTCACGCTGTCTTTCCTCCCTCCCTTCTCTCTTTTTAGTGGAGTTTCCAAGACAGCGACATCCAAGCATCCCAGAGCACTTGGCGAGGTCCTCAGGGGTTCATTCTACAGAAAGGGAAACTGAGGCTCAGAGAGGGTAGATGACTTTCCTGAGAGCACACAGCTAATTCATGGCAGAACCAGGACTAGGACACCTGGACCCTACATCACTGCTTTGGTCCTTTCTCTTGGGGCTGATCTTTCTTCTACCGTCATCAGGGCAGGCAGGGTGAGGAAGAAGCCTCTGCTTACTTTCTAAGAGGAAAATTGGTGGCCCAATAGAGTGGTATTCTTGGCGGAAGCTCTCCTGACCACTCCAGTAATGACAAAACCCAACCCTGGACAGACACAGTCCAACCCCAGCTCATCCCAAGGAAGCATTTACACCTCTGTGAACTCAGGATCAGGATATTCGGTTAAGAACCACCTGCAGACCCAGAAAAGTCCATTTCCTAAAAGTGACCAGTTAGTACCAGTGCTCAAACCCTGATCAGGAGTCAGGAATCACTTAGAAACAAGCCGTCCAGTGGACAGGGGCTGACGAACAGCAGCAGAATGACCGACAGGCAGGAGGTGCTTCCACGACCAACATGTGGGAACCGGGACTGACTGGTGAGCCCTCTGGGTCCCACAGAGGATGCGGCCACCAAGCTGGCTGTGAGAGGGGAGTGACCCTGCAACTGCGCCATTCAAGAGTAAGAGGGAAATCATTAACCTTCTTTCTGCTCAGTCCTCTGACTGTGACTATCCAGTTTGTGAGGAAATGCTATTTTTAACATCTACTTGAAAAATACTTTTTACAATTGCAGCACGACTGAACCTGTTTTAAAGGATAGACTTAAGACTCTGATTTAACATGATTTTTTACTTTTCAGAAAGGGTCCACTGTGTTACCTTCGGCTTGATGCGTAAGGGGCCTTCTGTGTATAGGTGTGGCCAGGACTGATGGTCCTAGCTGGGAGGAAAGGCAATTCAGGCAACATACAGGACAAAGACATCCAGGGGCCCACCAGTATCCCCTCACCTCTTCTTGCTGCCCAGGACAATGATGTGATGGCTGTGGCAGAGGCAGCTATTTTGTAACTTTGAGGCAACTCTGAGGATGGAAGCCAAAATCCAAGGACTGCATAACAGACCTGCATTGCTTCCTCCAGACTTTTTTTTTAATTAGAGGAAAACACTTTGCTGACAAAGGTCCATGTAGTCAAAGCTGTGGTTTTCCAATAGTCATGTATGAATATAAGAGTTGGACCATAAGGAAGGTCCAAAGAATCAATGCTTTCAAATTGTGGTGCTGGAGAAGACTCTTTGACAGTAGCTTGGAGGAGATCAATCCAGTCAATTCTAAAGGAAATCAACCCTGAATATTCATTAGAAGGACTGATGCTGAAGCTGAATTTCCAATACTTTGGCCACCTGATGCGAAGAGCTGACTCATTGGAAAAGACCCTGATGCTTGGAAAGATTGAGGGCAGGAGGAAAAGGGGGCGACAGAGGATGAGATGGTTGGATGGCATCACTGACTCAGTGGACATGAGTTTGAGCAAGCTCCAGGAGATGGTGAAGGACAGGGAAGCTTGGTGTGCTGCAGTCCATGGGGTCACAGAGTCAAACATGACTTAGCAACTGATCAACAACAAAGGAAAGGAAAACCATACTTAAGTCATTATTCTTCTCTATTACTGGTGATCAAATACATTTCCTAATTGAAATACAAAACGCATGTATACACCCTCACTCACCAAGAGGCCCCAACACTGGAGGAGGAGGCAGGAATTGCCAAATATTTAAAGAGAAAGGGAACAACAATAAAAGGTTATTGATCCCAATTGCACCAAGAAAAATTCCAACTCAGAGATCGCAATTAAAATAATGGAGAGAAAAACATCCCAAACCAAATTACCAGTTTCACTGACAAGAGAGGTGCTTTGTTGTGACCCAGAGGACTGATTTGAGAGCTACAAATTGAACAAAGGCTTTGGGCAAGTATTTTAGAAAAATCATTCTTAAAGAAATGTAGCCTCTGGGCAAAACTGAAAATGGCAGCAGAGAGAGAGAACACATTCTCTCGTTTTCGGAATGCAGAAGCTTCCGGGAGGGAATGCAGATCACTAGAGCATTAATCTCATTATTACTAATGGTTCTTAATAACTAAGGGGCAATGCTGGGTCTCCAGTTGGCTGAAATGATCAGAAATTGCTCACTGAGGTTATACGAATAACTAAATATAATTTGACACTAAATTACCATCTCAGACATACAGCTTTCTGCACAGTCTCTTATTGCAAAGAAAAAACTAAGCCAGAACATCAATAAATAGAATAATCCAATTAAGCATCTTTCCATTTGGGAACTATTTAGAATTGAGAGCTTAACAGTGAGCTAGGACAGAACAATTCAGTGTTTACTGATTCAAATAAAAAAAAAAATCAGGGCTTTTATTGTAAGACAATTTTTGTGTTATTTTGTTTATAAAATAAGTGTTTAATTAATCTGAATGGCATTGTAGTGATCTTCATCTTTGCACATTGCTCCTAGATGTAAGGCCTAATTTCCCATAAATAGATTTGTAAGTTATTAATAATATTTAATACAGGCACCTTTTCTATGCTCAGAGTATGCTTATAAACACACTCCCTTTTTTTGTTTGTTTGGCTTTTACTATATGTAATAGTCACCTGTGACGTCTGCTGCAGGTACAGACAGACATGGGAGGAAGTTTGCCCAACAGAGGAGTTGGGGCCACCTCATGGATCCAATGAAAGCACTCGGAGCTGTGAGCTCCGTGTTTGACACGTTTGTTGAATGAATGAATGACCTCAGCTTTACCAGAGAAAGTATTTTCCAAGCATGCAGGTAAATAAAGCCTAGGCTAGTTCCTCCAGGCTGAATTTCCATAGGGAAAATAGTGGCATGTCTAGCCCTAAAGTCAAGGTACAATCAAATTCTACTTCCCAGATTTACAGGATCCTGTATCACGTTCTTTGGTAAACCGTCTGTGATTCTTACTATTAAAGCATGGAGAGCCTTCTCTAACATACAGGAATGGGACTGACTGCCCACCCCGGGTGCTCAAGACAAAGAGGAAGGACATTTAAGCCATACTTACTGCTGGTGGAGGACACATGGCTGTAGTCGGACCTGAAACACAAAACCTCAGTGTTAGGAGGATTAGACGTTACTGCTCTCTATCCAAGTGATCGCTTCAAGCCAGAATCTTAAAACAGTCAGTAGTAGCATTTAACCGATAAAGAAATGCCACAAATTAAAAAGTGTCATGCTGTGGACTGTTTTGTACAGAAGCAAGTTATGTCTGAATTTGAAAGCACAACTAGAAAGACATTCTAGAAACCCAGGGTCCCTCATATGGGCTCTGTGAGTCTCCCACATGGGAGACCAGATGGGTTCGGAACCATCTACATTTACTGGCAAAGTTTTGAATGGAAGCTTATGTGTCTGGGGAGAAGGCTCAGTGTTTTCAAGATTTTCAAAGGGCTTCACAACTCCCCACCACATCCTGCCCCCCAACCCCCAAGGTTAAACTGCTGCAAAAGGTTAAACCCTTCAAAGATCAGTTCCTCCCCTTGGGGAAATGCTTCTTTGCTGATGTAAGCAGAGGCGAAGTGGACCCCTGGTGAGTGAGAGGGGACCCTGGCTGGGAGGGCCCCCATATTCAAGGTCTGGCTGACTATCAGGAAACACTCAGGCACAATGGTGGTTGATTTCAGTTCCATCTGGGAAGAAATCCTGCTGATACTAGAGTAACAGGATGTGGGCGATGATCGGCAAAGGGAAGAGGCAGGGTTAGGGCCAGGGTGAAATAACCCATCAGCTTCTACACAGAAAATCAGCTGCTGGCATCAGGCCTCTGTGAGAACGGGAATCTGGCCAAGAATTTGCCTGCTTGATCTCTACTAAGTTTCTGCTCTATTTGTGTGGCTCTTAAGCCGCCCCTCTCGGGGCAGCTTCCGTGGTATGGAAGCTATTGGTTTTCTCCCTGCAGGGTCCCCAAGTCATTCTCAGTAGGCAACTAATCTCTCAGGCACTGAGGGGCTTATTCTGCCAAGGTGGTAGTTAGGGGACATAGTTATGCAAATAGAGTAGTTAATTATGTTTAATTTTATAGGTACACACTCCCTGTATTTACTAAGCCTCATGTGGCCTTTCTTGAATCATCTTTTATTCCATTGACTTTCTTACCACATTAAAAAGGCATGTACAAAAAAAATTTTTTAAGGGCATAAAAAGCATACTGTCTCATTAGTTAAAACAACCTATATCTCTCACACAAAATGATGTGCTGACTTACTGGTAGAGGGACAAAATGGAAGCAAGACAGCGAGTGATTTTCTCTTTTCAAATGAAATATTGCATGCGTGCTAAGTTGTGTCCAACTCTTTGTGACCCTATGGACAGTAGCCCACCAGGCTCCTCTGTCCATGGGATTCTCCAGGTAAGAATACTGGAGTGGGTTGCCATGCCCTTCTCCAGGGTATCTTCCCGGACCCAGGAATCGAACTCATGTCTCTTATGTTTCCTGCATTGGCAGGCAGGTTGTTTACCACCAGCGCCAATTGGGTTGGCCAAAACATTTGTTCAGGTTTTTTCAGAACACTATCATGGAAAAACCCGAATGAATTCTTTGGCCAACTCATACTTTAATTGTCACAAAATCACTGAATTTTAAAACTGGAAAGAATAACAACTAGTAACACTTGCATATCCCTCGATAGATTACAAACTGCATCCACCGAAATCTCATCCAATTTTTCATACCACAGATTTGGAAACTAAGGTGATAATATTTGTAAGGCGACCAGGAAGTGAGGAATGATATGATAAAGGCTTGAACTAAGGTGGTGGTAAGGAAGGAGTTAGAAGGCAGAATGGAGTGTAGAGACTGGAGACACATGCTAGCTCAAGGAACAGTGAGAGGAGAAGGGGAGAAAGAGGAGTCAGGGATCAGGAACATTATGAAATGCAGGATTTGTAAGTCAGTGCATTAAATTCCTTCTGGAACCAGGCAGGACATAAACTTTAGGATGATACTTAGAAATGTAACTATATGTAAATGCAATGAATACTCAACCAGCATCCACTTGGTAGATGCAATAGCAAAACAATTCCATGACAATGTGATCATCTTAAGATGGCCAGGCTTCAGAGAAACTGCATGACAAGTCCAATAAAACATTCTATAAGAATGTGCAATCGTATTGATTTTTACCATTAAAATTTTGTCACTATTTTCAGCTAGGGTTTTCCAAATGCTCTCGAAGCATATGGGTTTCACATATGCATTCATTTTAAAAGATTTGCATATGGATGGATACGTATGTAGAATAAAATTTACATTTGAAGCATTTTCCAAGAATCTTAAAGTACAGAGGGGGTATTTTAGGGCAGGTGCTAGCAGAATGGATGCCTCTGCCTTGAATCTCTCCATATTTCTTGTGATGAAAAGCACTGCCCCGATCAGGCATGCCAAATGGTCAGTCTTTGGTGACTCTTGCTCTGCTCAAGCTCCTGCCTCATACGGCAGCCAATCTTTGCAAAGCACAAATCTGATGAAGTTCAAGCTGGACATAAACCCCTCTTTCTGTGACTGATGGCCTCTGCTCAGCTCTGCAGTCTCATCCATCACTCCAATTTCTACCCCTGTCCACCATCAAAACAGAAATCAAACAGAAAGAAAAGTCACTTACAGCCTCACATTGCTTTCCAGCCTCTGGTCCTGGTGATGTCATTTGTACCCAGTTGCCATAATGACAGAGATACAATTTTAAACTACTCTTTTCACTAACTCTATCATAAAATGGTGCCACATAGTTCCTGTAATTATATAGATAGTGATATTCTATAATTTAGTCAACCATGTTCCTTTTGTTGGCTATATGACTGTTTCTGATTGTTCACTTTTACAAAACACACGGAGATGAGATATTTATCAATATATTTAATTTCCTTAGAAAAATTATCATGATGGGGAATAGGAACTGAGTTGAGGTATGAAGACTTTTGTAGTTCTTAAAAGACATACCAAATAACCCTGGAAGGTTATTTACTAGAAATATGGACAGTGGAAGACAAACTTTAAGCTTGAAACAATTTTATGCATAAATATGGTCAAACAATTTTGGATACTGACTCTGGTTCTCTGGAGGGGTGTGTACTCCCAGGTGTTTTAGGTAAGAGGAAGCAAGTGGTAGGGTACCTGTCTTGGGGATCTTATTTATTGGTCTCACATCTTAAGATGTGAGAAGAATTTATAAGAATTTCTCTAGCTGGCTCTGCATAAGATATTCAGCTCTCCCAGAATGAAGCATGCCAGGTGCATCCACAAATTTTAGGATGAAAAATTTATGGACACATGATATAGAGAAGCAGGATAATACAAAGATTATATATATTCACATACCTGGCACATATAGTAGACACATTTTCAAACATCACATTTATTTAGTAATGTAATACTAAACAGAAAGTGATATGTGGTCCCTTGACTGGACTTTAATCACAATTATATGTAGAGGGGCTAAATAGAAAGAGGTCAGCACTTAAGATAGTTTACCACTGTCAATAGCCTACTGGCCAATTTTTATGTTCATTTAAAATGGATACCTTCCTAAATTCTCTTTTCCAGAGAAATCTTGGGGTAAGAATTGATCTCGACATTTCAGTGAAATTGATCTTGACGTTTTGGTAAATCAGCTCAATGCCCCATGGACCTCAACTGTGAACTCTCGGTCTATTGAATTAGATGCCAAAGTAACTTAGAGCTATCGAGCTCCACCTTGAACACAAAGATAATAGAGTATCTACTAGATTGTCTTTTCTTCTATGCAAGATTTCCCCACCTACTGTTCTTTAAACGGCTCGTTTAAAAATCTACTCTACCTATTTTTTCCCACCCACCAGTTTATAAATGCTAGACCTGTGAATTGTTGGTTATCTCTGAAATCACAGTGATGCATCTGTTGGAGGTCACCCAAAGATAAAGGACATAATATGACCCTATGTTTTCATAAGCTCAGTGACAGCTGACATTACTGCCATTACTGCCAGGTCAAACTTCTGAATGAAAATAACCCATCAGCTATTGTCATATTTGAAAGAGTGGCTTAAAGGCCAAATCTGGGAGACAGCGCTAAAGAAACACCCATTGGAAAACATTCATCTTAGTCTTTTGTTTTGGTTTACAAAACTCTGCTTGTCTCTCTGTTCAAGAGATTCTGTTTCTTATGATAGTGGATTACAGTCAGTAGCTGACTTGCTAATCTTTTTCTAACAGAAAGTACATGGAAGCACAAAGCAGGTTTTCAAGTGGATCTAGAGAATGCAAGTTTCAAAATGACGTCAATTACCCCAGAATGCTAGTTTGCTTTTAGTCTTAGCCCATGTTGAGGGGTCAGACTGCAAAGGTATTGACAGCATTCCAAGCAAAAGAAAGTATTTGAACAGAAAATAAGAATTAACTACAGACCAGCTGCTCCTTGAAAGACAACTTTACCAGGTGGAAAGTGTGCTGGAGGCCTGGGCTTCAATCTAACCCATTAACTAGTCATGCACCCTCCAAACCTTCATTTCTTCATCTTTAAAATAAAAATAATTATCATATTGAGGCATGTGCCATAGCCTTTAAGACGTTCTGAACAATGACCAAATTTTTAAGGCATTTAAAAGCATCAGAGCCTCTACTGTGGACACAGAACATATGGTTTTGAGGGCACCTGGAGATGTACCTTTTTATTATATGAAACTCTAAGGACTTCCTTGGTGGCACAGTGGATAAGAATCTGTCTGCCAATGCAGGGGACACAGGTTTGATCCCTGGTCCGGGAAGATTCCACATACCATGGAGCAACTAAGCACGTGTGTCACAACTGAGTCTGTGCCCTAGAGTCTGAGAGCTGGAACTACCGAAGCCCACTCACCCTAGAGCCTGTGCAACAAGAGAAGCCACCACAATGAGAGGCCCACATATTGCAATGAACAGTAACCCCACTGCTGTGACTAGAGAAAGCCTGTGCAAAAACAATGAAGACCCAGCACAGCCAAAAATAAAAATAAATAAAATAAACTTTAAAAACAGGCATTAAAAAAAAAAACTCTAAGGGGCTTCCCTCATAGTCCAGTGGTTA